TGGACACAGCCAAAGGGAGCTAAAAAGGGCATTTTAAAAAATCTGTAGCTTTATCTGGAGTTTAGAGGTTACTTTAAACAATTACCTACCCATCTGAGGGTTTACATCTAATTTAATCTGTGAAAGTTCAGCCCCAAGATTAAGTACTGTACAGACGTTATCAACAGAAAGGATATCCCATGGTACATAAAATCACAGAATCATAGAATAATAGAACTGGAAGGGACCTTGAGAGGTCATCAAGTCCAATCCCCTGCCCTCACAGCAGGACCAAGCACTGTCTAAATAATTTCTGATAGATGTCTAACCAACCTGCTCTTAAATATCTCCAGTGATGGAGATTCCACAACCTTCCTAGGCAATTTATTCCAGTGTTTGACCACACTGACAGTTAGGAAGTTTTTCCTAATGTCCATCCTAAACCTCCCTTGCTGCAATTTAAGCCCATTGCTTCTTGTCCTATCATCAGAGGCCAAGGAGAACAATTTTTCTCCTTCCTCCTTGTAACACCCTTTTTGATACGTGTAAACTGCTATCATGTCCCCTCTCCGTCTTCCTACAATAGTATATAACCATATGCAGTAAAATAAAAAACCAAGTTCACAAAATATTAGAGATACTATAATATGCACTAATATACTGAAGAAATTTGGATAATTCTTAATACAAATAGAAGAAGACAATATTTGCTCAACCTAACATCTCAACACCTAGTTTACAGAAGAGCAACAGAAATTCTAAGAATTCCACCAAACCGAAGAGAGAAATAGTATCATAAAACATAGAATCATAGAACACTAGAACTGGAAGGTGCCTCGAGGGGTTATCAAGTCCAGTCCCCTGCCCTCACGGCAGACCCAGTAGACCATAGTTCACTAATCAGTATATTTTAGAAATACAGAAGAAAAAATTATAGGGAAAGTAGATGTTGAAGGACCTACTATGTAAGACACTAAGCCAGTCAACTCTCATTGAAATCAGGGGTGTGTGTGTGCAAATGTATGCATATATGAATGAAATGTATTTAAAATGTTGAAAGCACAAAACACAAGACTATGGGACATACAATATGTATCTATTTTACACTTATCTTAGACTTTCATTTCAAGTACCTCAATGTCACACCAGCCAGCTCCCACTCTCTATTAACATTCTATCATTCCCACATCCATTACAGACTCTACAAGATCCCAATAGAACTGACTCAGAGGAGATTAGGTAAGTGGGCTCTACCTCAAATTTTGCATTTTATTTTATTATTCAAAAGATATGAGAAAATTTGAAAAACGTGTGAAGGCTGGATGACATCATTAAATTATTCCCTTGCTTGCCCCCTACATTCTAGCTCTACTTTTGCTATAATATCCACAAGTAATGACGGGCATTATAGTGGTGAAGAAGCCAGTTGACATATAAAAAAGAACAAAACCCATATATAGTTAACTTCGCAATAATTATAGGTTATAGAGAGAGTGACTGCAAAAGAGCAAAAATCTCAGGGCAGCAAGAACAGAAGAAAGTGGGTAATTCAATTTGAGAGTTCAGGCTTTTCACAAGTTCTCAAAACATGCATTGCTCTTGTTGATTACAGTACAGGCAGTCCCCGGGTTACGTACAAGATAGGGACTGTAGGTTTGTTCTTAAGTTGAATCTGTATGTAAGTCGGAACTGGCATCCAGATTCAGCCGCTGAATCTGGACACCAGTTCTGACTTACATACAGATTCAACTTAGGAACCCCAGGCGTCCCCAAGTCAGCTGCTTAACCCGGGGACTGCCTGTA